GGGCTGCAGAGAGCGCCGGCACCCCACGGCCCCGTGTGCGGGGTGTCGGGCTGGGCAGCCACCCTGCACGCAGCGGTTCCCGATGCTTGTGTGTATGTGGATGCTCTGCACCCGGATATCCCTCCGGGGTCAGGGTGTACAGCTTCTCCACATCCCAGCTCCACGAAGCAACAGGGTGTGTGGCCGTGCTGCATCTCGTGTCCTCTGGTGTTGGGGTGCGTGGCCGCACACAGAACAACACCCCTTGGTGTCAGGGTGCACAGCTGCTCTGCGCTTCTGGTGCCAGGTTGCACCCCTACCCAACACCCGTGTTGCCCCCGGTGTCGGGGTGCGTGGCTCTGTGCACCGGCGTCTCCCTGCCTGCACGATGCGCACCTACACGTGGACCCCAGCATGCGGGTGCACCCCTTGGGTGTCGGGGCATGTGTATTCGTACTTCCCTTAGGAACGGGCGGGTGTGTGCACATGCGTACAACCCTAGGGTGTCAGGGCACAGGCACAGACACATCCATCAGGCTTTGGGTGCAGACATTTGCGTGCCTGATGTGTGAAGGGTGGGACACACACACACCCCTCCTGGGTCACAAGGGTGCACACACGCGTACACAGCTCTCGGGGCACAGATGTGCACACATGTGCCTTGGGCACAGGAAGCAGACACGCATGCTCCCTGTGTGCTGGAGGCACAGAAGTGGCCAAGCTGGAATCGGTCTACACAAGTTTTTTCCTCCCTTTCCTTGAAACAGGAAAAAGCTGCTGTCTCAAGCCTCAGAATGGGCAGCAGCCTCTGTGCAAGACTAAAGGCATCACTGCAAGCAGCTGTTTGAAACAGGGATGGGGAGAGTTGGGACGAATATATGTTGTGAGATTTTATGTGCATGTTTTGGGTTTTGTTTTCATTTCAAATAAACTTTGTTTAGACCACAGATCAAAAACTGTCAGTTATAGACAAGTTGTTTTTCTTTCTCTTCTAGGCAGACATGGGTCACTACAAAATCTAAATATTTGACCTGATACCTCCCACTCAGTTTATATTTTGTGGTAAAGCATAAGCTAAGTGGGATAGTGTTTTCACCATCGTTTTTAATATCAGCAAACTATTCAGTGTTATGCTTGTGTGTTCATAGCCCAATCTGTAAGCAAGAAAACTAAGCCCATAGTTGTTTGTAGGAGAAGAACTTGCTAGCAAAGTCAAGCAGTACCTTAAAAGATTGCGTGAAAACTGTCTTTAATCAGTATTGTTCCAGAAAATAAAAAATTATGAATTGTGATGGTAATTCCATATAGTGTGTTTACATTCGTTCTATGTGTATATTCACATTTTCATTAGTGGTATTTGGGGTTTCAAACAATTTGGATCCAGTATGTTTTACATGGAGCAGATATTATAATATTGTGGGGCATAATGTTAACAAGTTCGTTAAAAGTGGATTATTTGGATGATGGATTAGTTTTGAATTAATTTGTGCCTGATGCTCACAGCTGGCAGTCCAAAGATATGAATTTAGTCCCTGCTCTTTCAGAGCTAATCTTGGGTACATATTGTCTGCACAAATGATCCAGTAATGAGTTCAGGGCTTCTTGATTTCTGGTTGTCTAGAATGACACCAGTAGGGAAGGACTTGTCTGAGGATATGGATTAAAAATAAGGCCCTGGCATCTCAGTTTGGGTGCACTGACTATCTGCTTTAATAAACTTCAGCTGTTACCATTCTTTATTATAAGTAAAGTGTGTATCTAGATGGATAGTTGTGATTTGTTAGTCATTGTTCATGAGGAACTTTACAATTGTAGAGTGAAAGATTTTACATAACTGTAAAGTATTACTCATTTAATTGTATTGAAAATTAAATATACCCCCAGTTTTAGGTGCAGTTTAACATTCAAGTCATGAGACTTTCCTAATAGCAAAGGAATTTGCTTTTCAGTGTTATCCCCATAACTCCACCTCACTCTTGCTGCTGATCAAGGTGGTTCACAAAAAAAGATTATTTGTCTCTTTCATCTTCAAAGTTTTCTGCAAACAATACTCCTCATAGAAGAATGCTCTATGTATTAGTTTGCTAACTCCATTTACTAAAGGGGAAGAAACAGCAATAGCTTAGAGGTCTGAGCTGCAAAAATGAACACTGCAGGACTGGGATTGAGTTCTGTCCCCTAGAGCCCCATTTGCTGTCTAGTGGGCATTAGTGCTTACTTTAAGGTGGCTTTTTAAAACAGCTTGGATTTATTAGGTGAGGTTTACCCCCTGTCATCTGGGACAGCTTGTGTTTCTGTGGCACCTCTTGTAGATGTGACAACACAACTGCAGTCACCTGCGCCTCGCCTCCTCCAGCTGAGATCAGAGATGCACTACTCCAGGCAGCTGTGTACCCTCTATTCTAGCAACAGCCTTATTGTGGCATGCCCTTTCAAATGCCCGTACTCAGGAACAGCTGCTTAGCTTTCAGCACAGTAACATGTTTGTGTGTTTGCCTAGGGCTAAAGAAGGCACTATTTTCAATAAATACACCAAGAAGGTATTTACCAATTGCTTCTTAACACCGAAGGTCATCTCAGATGCAGTTGTTCTTCTGGTTGTTATTGTTTCCCTGCTATGAAATACTTTTCCTTTCCTCCATCCTGCTTCTACAGGGTGAACCAATGTTATGTTGTTTTCAGACATTGGGACTAAAAGGTTGATTGTTGAAAAACGCTGCTAGTGTGAACTACTTCTGTGTAATACAGGCAGACGTGTTCATGAAGATGTTTTTCCCAAAGGAAGCTGAGTTTCCCTATATTTTTTTTTCCTTGAGTGGTTGTCACAGACTTTTGATAGCCAGAAGACAGTTTGATAACTGAAGATTGATAGCTATCTTCTGGATCTCCTAGTCAGTAATTAAGGGTGAGAAATTGACTTCTGAGGCAGGAAAAGGTTTACATTTCCAGCTGTAGTGCTACATATTTAGAATTTCAGAGAAATGTTTTAGTATTTCAGCGGAAACCCCATATCAAAAAGAGGCAAAGTGAAGGAAGTGCTTCTTAGGAGAAAGAAGGAAAAGCATTTGAGCTTGGGGTCCCCTGTTACACGTCATAGAGAATCAGTTAAATACATCAGCTTTCGTGTCCTTCTGCACAATATTTGGTGATTGAAGGGTCTTCTGTCAGCTAGAACAGAGAAGAATAATTCTTTTAACACCATTTTAAAAAAGCACAGTTATCAATTGTAATGTTTTATGTACTCTGTGGTGTAAGGGAAAGTGGTGTTATTTTGGAAGTGTACTTGCAGAAACTGCCTAAAGATTAGATAAAAAAAGACAGTGAAATTCTTCTGTTTCAAAGAAAAGGAAATTGTGAGTGTTGTACAGAGAATGTGTATCTGTACCCCTACGTAGTACAGTCACCGCTATTTTGGATTGAAATATTTGCAGGCTGTTTGTTTTCTGCCACTCGTAATTTTTCCGAAATTAGACTTTCATTATATTTTTTCTGTTGAAAGATGCGCTATTTAACTTTTCCTTTTTTAGAGCGATATTTAAGCAACATAAGAACATATGGAGGTTACTTTCCTATTTACACTGTACAAATTTTTCCTTATGCACACTGTCTTTGTGCTCTTTTTCACTCTTGTCTGTGTACGTCAGGACAGACCCAGCCCGCTTGAGTAAAGACACTTCATTAAAAAGAAAATAAAATAGGCAGCAGAAGCAGCCACCCACCCATTCCCTGCCATGTGCACGACAAATAAAAGTGGATAGTCTACAGTTAACTGTTCAGCTCTTTATCTAGTAAAATGGTTTGTGAGAGGGTAAATTTCAGTGCGGAAATAACTGCCTTTACCTTGCTAGGAAGTGGCTCGGTGGAAAGTTTCAGTAACAGATGTATATGTAACTGTGTGTTGTGATACTGTTTGCATTAAACTTCATTGTGCCTGTTTTCCCTGCGTTGTGGGCATTTTCGAGACACGCTCAGTGACAGTATAATGTACTTGTTAATACGTAGGGCGCTGGTATCTTCAGCTGGCAGACCTCGTGAAGACAGTTGGTTAAAATCGCTATTTGTTCGCAAAGTTGATCCAAGGAAAGATGCTCACTCCAACCTTCTAGCCAAAAGAGAGACCAGCAGTCTGTATAAACTACAGAGTGAGTGATATTTTTATATTTAACATTACTATTTCTTTATTCTGTTCCTGCATTTCTCACATAATGTTGTTGTTTCAGTTCACAATGTAAAACCAGAATGTCTAGACGCCTACAACAAGCTTTGGTAAGTGTATGTATTATGTTTTCATATTTTGGACATGTTAATTTGATCACTAGCTGTTCTGAAAATTGGAAAACACCATAATTATTTAGAGGGGAGGTGGATAAATTCTGCTTTTACCTTCAGGGTATGATGGTAAATAGATCATGTTATTCTTGGAAGGAAATGGCAAAAGATACCTTACTCAGTTCACTCCCTGCCTTCCCTTGTGGAGGTGTCATTTTCCCACGCTGCGATTTAGGATGATGCCTTTTGTGAAAACATGGGTGACATTTGTTGGAGCAGCTTTCACCTTCCCTTAGTTGTCTCACAATTGCTGCTCCATGTGGGTAGATCCTGGTAAGCTGGCATGTCCCACTCCAGCTGCTATGTAGGAATGTGTTGAGGCTGGTACTGTCTGCATACAGGAAAGAAAGGGAGAGATCATGGGTAAGTAAAATTGCATGCCAGTATTCAGTTGAAGTGTAACTTTGAGGAGATTTTAGAAACCCAGGGACTGGCTTTCAGTTCATCTATATCCTTGTACAAAACTAGTGTTCCTGAGATCTACTCTTAAAGAGCTGTGCAAGTCCTTGGATAGGATCTTTGCAGTGGGGTGGTATCCTCCAAAGAGAGCAGTACTGTTATGGGTTTTCCAAAAAGTTACAGCTTTATAAAATGTATGAATTAGTAACATTTTAAATGTATTACTTTAAGGACGAAATTGTAGAAATATTAGTCCTGCCTACAAAATCACTCTTCTGGAGCCAGAACAACTGCCTTTTCAAGAACTGTGTGTTTAAATTTGGAAATGTAGTGAGCCTCACACATTTCAAAACAGCAGTGCTTTCTCACTGACATGATCATCTTGTCAGTTAAATAAAACATTCATAGCATAATGATACCCTACTGCAACCAATTTCTGAAGCGTGGTGTATTGGTGAGAACACCAGCTGTGCTGGAGGGTGGGGAAGACGTTCACAACTCCCAGTTTATGTCCTCGACTCTGTTACTGTTTGGCTGTACAGCCATGAGTAGTTAGTCTAACATCTCTGTGCCTTCATGTGTTCAGCTTTGAAATGGGGCTAGATAACCCAAAACTGTTTTCCTTGCTATACAAACATAGAAATACACTAGAATAACATTCAGTCCTAAGGTATTCTTAGCTTTTTTGTTTTAAAAAATAAATACACAGAGAAGCACAACTAGCATTCAACCAACTTTCTGTTTAAAAGCTTAGTATAAACGTCCAGTTATACAAGACAGGGAACCTCTTCTCCAGGTTATCTCAGGAGCTACCCAAATGTTGAATGAAAGTAGAGGCTTTCATTTTCAAGGAAAGAGACAATAGCAAAGAAAGAAACTGCTAACAGCAGTCAGATGAAGTATGTGTGGTTAGATTTATTCTTCCAAACCCAAGTAAATTTAAGTATTCCAGAGAAGGAGAAAACTTAAGAATCGATTGATAAAAAAAACCTAAGCCTCTCTGAACTTCCTTCCTTCCTCTCCCTAAATTAAAAATGAACAGGTTAATTACCTATTCTGTATCAAATCAGAATAGGGATTAGTCATGTATTAATAAATAATATAATGAAGACAATTATGAGAGTACTTCATGAATGACTGTGGTTAAGGACCCTTTCTGAAAAATTAGTAACAGTTATTTTTAAAAAGGAAAAAGATGGTGTTCATATGGTATTCTGTGGGCATTTTTTTCTATATTTTGCAACAAATTACATTATATACATTATTGGAATAATTTAACATGCCTGTCCAAAGCTGCCTTTCTAGGATCTCATTATGCTTTGCAAAAATGAACTGATGGTGAAACATCCTTGGAAGCATCCTTGGAGAGTCATTCTATCTCATTATTTAGACTGTGTAGTGGGGAATCTTGAGGTACAAACTGGTAATGAGATTTGCTCAAGGTTGTTTAGAAAGTCAGTGGCAGAATCCAGAGGCAAACTCCTATCTGATGACTCTCAGCCCAAGACCAGCCTGCTTCCTATTATTTGATATTGTGCAGAGACTCATTGCCTATGAGCCAAACTGAGTAAGAGGGGTAATTATTCAGGGAAAAATATTAAAAGACAAAGTTCAACCAGACTAATTGAGTTATTCATCAAAGTACAGTGCAGTGAAAGCTGTCTTAACTGAGTCAGCATTTGGGAAAACTTTATTTCCTAGTGATAATGTAGACCACTTTTAAAGTTTGGAAAAATGTTAGAAATACTGGAAATAGTCAAGCAGAAATTGTGTGTTGGAGGTATTTCTAAGGCAATTTCACTGTACGCTTTAATGGATAAGTTGCCTCAAGCTAAGACCACTTTCTGAAAACATAGAAAGCAATAACGCTGCATACTATGAAGTACAGTCATCATTTGATCTGTCAAAATGCTTGTTTTTATTCATTCAGCTCAACAGAATTAATAACATTGTAACTGGTACAGAAGACTGTCCTTTCCTATTCTTGTGTGTTCTACCCCCCTTGATAAAGAAAAGCTTTTCCTAAAGCAAATCACCCATGTAGTTAGGCTGCATTTTCTGTAAGTGAGCCATCCCAATATTTATTTTCCTAGTTTGTTGGATAACCTTTTAGGTGATAGACATAATGCATCAAAAGAATTCTGCCATGCTGTGTATTTGTCATACAGTCTAAGAAATGGTAACACTTACCTTAATTTTTCGTAGTGTTGTAGCTATCTTTCCCCCTGTAAGGCAGGCCTTTGTATTTCAGCTTTTTCTTCTGAAAAGTAGACCTTGTGAATTTTCATACCATAATGATAAACGTGTGGTGATTTGTTATACATATCAACTGTAGCCTCCCTGAAGGAAATGCAACATAGTGTCTGTATTCCTTGTTTTCAAGTCAAGAGGTGCTGCCAAAGATTCATGAAGAAAAACACTACCCATGTGCACTGGTGGGGACTTGGAACACGTGGTACGGAGAGCAAGATCAGGCTGGTAGGAGATAGAAGTACAACAGAATGTAAAACCATACAAGTGAAACGTGTGCTTGGCAGGTTTCTTCTCTTTAAATCATCTCTGTTGACAGTAAACCTTTAGCAATGTATACAGTGAGGGTGTGTGTGCATCAAGTATCAGTAGTCATATTAACGTTTACAGTGCTTGCTTTTTGTCTTGTTGAGTTTGACAGTAAAGCATTAAGTCCTAAAATTTGTCCTATTGTTAATATGCTTTCGTGTTTTCCAGGTGGTAGATCAACAGGTTTGGGAAATGCTTGTAGAATGCGGTCCTCTAGTGGGCACAGATCATGTTTCTGAATATTTAGGGTAAAGGCAAAGGCTTACAAAGACAGAGCTTATCTTGCGTGGGCCATTATAAAAGCGTTACTCAGACTTTCATACTGTAATTGCTGTGTGATAGCGAAACGCAAATCATTCACACCATCTGAAAAAATGATTGCATTGTAAACTCAACAATAAGCTGGGCTTTTATTGGAGGAGAAGAAAACTCTTTCTGTTCATGTTTGTATAAGGATACTGCCTAGCTGTTCAGATTAAAAATGTATTGGAACGAGAAATTACTGAAGAGCTGCTACAGAGGTAACTACAAAGAGTCGAGCGTAGAGAGAAAACGTGCAAAATTTCCTAGGCTCTGGGAAACTGAAGGAATGGGAAGCCACGAATATGGAGTGGTGTACTGGTATTTGTTAGGTAGCTCCATTGTTAGAGCTATGTGTAGTATCAATGTCATTGCTTCGTTATTGAAAAATATACTCATGTACACATTAATTTTTCCTGCAATCACAATATTTTGCAATATTGACCCTGAACAAAGGCGAAGAAATAACAGTAGATAAACCAAACAATGTCTGAGAAACAATTCTAGAAGTTGAAGGGAAATTGGGGAATGAAGCCAACTGAAATGAGAGTATCTTAGCCAAGTCTCATTCATTGCTTTTGTAATGTATGAACACACACTGTATCTGTAATTGCATCTCTAGCCTGCCTGGAAAATGTTATTGCAACAGTTCTAGCAGTGTAATAAAGCAGATTACGGGGTTTTGACTTGTTCAGTACTTGTGCCCAGGCTGTGTTACTATTAGGTGGATATATCAAATTTGCCCTGGGGCTAAGACAGCAGAAGCAGGCGCATTGGGTGAATCTGCTGTCATAGTGAAGTGCCTTAAATTAGTCTCCAGTTTGCTCTCCTGGAAAAGGCATAAGACTGCTTTAGAGGAGAGGAAATAGCTTTTGTGACTCTTTGAGGTGAAATATTGTTGCCTTGCTTTATTAGGTACTTGTAAATAAATGCTGTTGTGATTTATTAAAGGGATTTATTATGATTTGGTAAAGAGAGAATGCTTTGAAAAAACTGAAATGTAGATACCTGTTTTGAAATTGTTTTTATAGGGAAAATCCTAGCAAATGTAACAATTCGAGCATGTTCAGCTATCTTGTGCTTTTTATTAATGTAATGTTTACCTCAGAAATAACATTTGCATCATTTTTCATGTCCTACAGATAGTATGTTGCTCTTTGTACTTGAGTAATTTACTGGACTAAAAAGTCTACCCCTCTATTGCTCTATTGAAATTGGTGTAAAACACATTTTTGGAATTGTCATCCTCCTAAATTGAATCTCAATTTCAACTACAGTCGTGTAAAGTCATCACATCTTACTAGCATGCCGACAAAAAGCCCTTGCAGAAATTTCCCTGTTATCTTCAGAGTAGGTTGCAAAATTTTGCAAGAGAACCCTTTTCGAAAAGCAGATGATTCCATTATTCTTAAAATGTTCAAATGTGTAGTGCTTTCTTTAATGAAAATCTGGTTTTAAACCTGTTACCTGATTTCTGTTTTGTATAATTCTGTAGTATAAAGAGCATTTTATACTGTGATATTCCATAAGATTTAGCACTAGTCTATGACATCCCTGAAAAAGCTTCCTTTTTTCTATTTCAGTTCATCTGTGGAGATATGAGGGAGGCTATCCAGCTCTCAATGAGGTCATGAGTAAACTACGTCAAAATAAGGTGAAATGCATTGATTTGGTTAGAATTCGTTATTTTACTCGGAAGAGAACAAAGAATAGAGAAAAAACCTGCGTATTTGAACATCCCCTTTTACTTTGATATCCCATCATTTCCTGTACAAACTTAGAAACGTCTTTGGAAAAGGATTTATTCTCATATTCAGAAATACTGAGGTTTAATATCTGAATATTTTGTGAAAGATTTACGCTTAGTGTTGTGTAAACATGCCACTTGAAATTTTCAAATATGCCAGGGGAATTTAGATGCCTTTACAATTTAAAGGCTTTCAATGTCCCCAATCCCCAAGACAGCATTAAAGAAAAATCCAAGCCACCGTATGGTATACTGCATTTTGTTGTTGAAACATAATAACACAGTTTGACAGCGATCGCATTGTTTCATAGGAATTCACAGAGTTTCGCAAAGAAAGGGGTAACATGCTTCTCTCGCGCAAGAACCAATTATTGTTGGAGCAATCCATTTCCATGTTAATGGTTGCCAGATGAAAATAATCGGTGAGTAGTGCATACTGTCGTTTTTTTTTTTTTTTTTTTTTTTAAGCTCTCTGCTGTCGTAAAATGTTCAAAGCACGTTTATACAATGTAGGTGGAAAACAGACCTCATCTTAAAAATCTGGTTCTTATCAAAGCTGGTATCTGAGTCATCATTGCTCTCGAAGTGTGAGGTCCAAAATGAAGGCAGGCTCCAACAAGATACTAATATCTGCAGGGCTGAAAACCCCATGATTCCGTTTGAGGGAAGCTTCAAACTCAGAAGTAATACAGTTAGTAAACAGAGTAATTACAGATGATTATAATATGCTAATCACTTGAAGCAAGTGATTTTATTAATACATAGTGTTTTGCATACGTAGATGATGTGAAAACTGTCCAAATAGTCTAACTTTCTTTAAACTACAGTTTTAACAATCTGTTTTGTTTTTGTAGCCCGGAACAATGATTGAGTGGGGAAATTACTGGTAAGTGTTGCTTTAGCATTTGCATTCTCCTATTTGAGAGATGTACGTTTAAAAATCATGGGGTGGAGATGGCAGAATGGTGCCAAAGCATTTCAGTCACCCAGTTAATGGCCTGCTTCTGTAGTTATGCAACTTGTAAGATAGTTCTTTGACCCATAATTTATCCTTTGAGGAAAGAAAGAGGAATTATGTGTGCAAACAACATTGTGAGCTCTGTGATTTGGCTTTCCTTCACATAACCCTTTTAGTTTGATGTAATATAACAGAAATAATTTATTTTTAGCAGAAAACACTGCTCAGTGAAGGGTGGCGGTTAACTCCGTGAGACTACGCTGATCTTTCACACCACCACTAGAAGCTGATTTAGTTTAAATGGCCTAAGTCTTGGCTCTTTTAATCTTTAGAAGTCAAGTTGCTTCTTGAAAACCTATTGAGCAGCACATTTATATTTTAGTATATAGGTTAAAAGCATTTGAGACAGTCTTCTCTTGAGTATATGCTTCTGATTCTGTTTTTTTCAAAACAGTGCATGTTTTTTTCAATTTATATTCACGAAGGCCATGCAGCTCTAATGGTTGATAGTTTAATAATTTGGTGTATTTTCAGTTATTCTGACAAAGGTGAAGACTTGGATTGTTAGATGTGTCATTGTCATTCATATAATTTATTTAGTTACAGTAATTTGAATAAAGTAAATTAAGGTCCCTTCCAGCCCTTACCATTCTATGTTTCTATGATTCTGTGAATTTAGAATTTTTATAAAATAGGCATATCTATAGTGGTAGCCAATCTGTTTTAGAAGATGCAACAGATTTATAGTTAAGAGAGATATTGATCTTATTTACACAACAAATCAAGAAGTATTGCACAGGAGAGCTGCATAGCAAAGGTCCATGTGAATAAAAAAAGCTGTATTCCACTACCACAAAATCTATAGTAAGTGAGTGTGGCAAAGATTATATGACTGGAACTCAAGGATTTAGTTTTAGAACCTGCTGTAAAAATGTGCTGCCAACTTTACACTGTTCCAGCAATTACTGTTATACTGGATCTAATGTTAAAGACAAAGAATGATGAATGTACAGTCTAGTGAAACTGTAATCCTCCAACTTTAACTCATTCTAGCAAGATATATAGGTATATTTTAATTAATTAGTCCTTAAAATCGGGGTGTCATGGATTTTTGTCTCATTTTTCGTTACTGAAGTGTACTGCAAATGCTGTTTAACATTCAGGCTTCGTTTCAGCTCTGTTCTCCTTTCAGTTATCACTTGTTTCCTACCCAGATGTGCTGGTTTTAATGGCTGCTTTGCTCTTCTATAGGGCTCGTGCAATTCGTTTCCGACAGGATAGTGATGAAGCAGTTGGAGGATTTTTCTCACAAATTGGACAGCTGTATATGGTTCATCACCTCTGGGGTAAATTTTTTTGTGTTCTCTGCTTTTTTCTCACTGAATCAGACCCTAACAGACCGTTGACTTTGCCCAGGAGGCGGGATTTTTACAAAAGGCAAATGAATGTCTTAAGGGACTGTTTTTGTTTTACATCAGTAATGTTGATATTCTTAATTTTTGTGCAGGTAACTTTATTTCTTAAATAAGCAAGCAGAAGTGAACATTTAATGTTTTGTTCTGTTTCTGTCAACAGTTTCTCGTGGGCCTTTTTGTTAGGGACTACTTGTTTGCTTTCAATAACATAAGCATGACAAGCCATATTCTGCCATCTGTTTTCTCCATCCCCATGCAGGCTGAAGTCAGGTTTTTACAATTTAGTTTCAAGTATCACATATACACACCTACAAAAAGGAAAGTCAAGCTTTTATTTACATTACTATGTCATGGTGTTTTTGCTTTCTCTGTATGTTAGTCTCCACAAATGCTTAGCTACTTTCATGTTAGGATTGTTTCAACTTGAAGAAACTCATTGTCTAATACTTATTTTAGAAAATATGCAGTATTATCTTCATATCTCGACAATTCAGAATGTTATATTCCAGCATTAGAAATCTGACACCACTCATGTAGGACTGTACTTTGTTGCATTGTGTGTCTTACCTGTGTCCAAGACATTCTCTCTCTTCTCCAGTTCCTTTGCATTGGTTTGGAAGCTTTTCCTTTTAGTGGAGGTGAACTTCTGACTTTTTTCCTTCCCAGTGTTTGCAGCCTCCTAATTACGCACTAGAATACTATGGAGGGAGGTATTCATGTGTAGAAGGAAAAGGAGTTGCTTCTAAGCTTCGTGCTTGTTCTTTTCGCTCACCAGCTTACAAAGATCTCCAGACCAGAGAAGATATAAGGAACGCTGCGTGGCATAAACCCGGCTGGGATGAACTGGTCTATTACACAGGTAACCCATTAACTTCATTGGAATGCTGGGGGTAGACTTTTGTGCATGCCATCATTTTTGTTCTTCAGTACATTGTACAATGATAAAAAGTTTTGCACCTCTGGTGTGCATGTGTTTGTGTGTCAGTTTATCTGCTGTAAGGGAAAGGAGGGACATTTCACTAAGCTGTAAAGTGAATTTTGCAATTGATCATATAAACCTGGAAAAGTTGCCTAATTGCTAAAAATTTGCTATGTTAATAGTGACTTTTTATACAAGCACCTCTCCTGTAGAAGAATAGATTTGTGTAAATGCCTAAGTTTGTGTCCAAAAATTAGGGAACCAATAGTGAAATTTATCTTTATATCAAATTATTACCTCTAATATTTCATGAAATACGGGAGCCTTGTTAAATGCATTCCTTTGAAAAGGGAATTCAGACTTTGGAACTAGAAGCCAGGAGATCTTTGAAATCAAAGATGGTTTTCATAACAAAACTCACAGAAGTATGCCGAGCATGTCAGATTTTGGTTCCATAGGGTACATTTCAAAGGAAGTATACCAGAAAAATGTAAGATAACTTTCATTATGGTGAAAAGGAATAGGAATATTTCTCTTGAAAGGAGCAGACAGATTACATTTAAAAAAATCGCTTGTTCTCAAAACTACTGTGCTTCAGTTACAGGAATGTTGGTGGTTACTGGTGACTTGGCATGCACTAGCCAGGAGGGTAATTTGAAGACAGTGATATCTGTTCAAACTGGGTGTGCGGAACAGCTAATGGTCTCTGTTAGTGAAATTAAACCGTCTCAATTTTTTTTCAGTGCCCCTTATTCAGGAAATGGAGTCCAGAATCATGATACCGTTGAAGATTTCTCCGCTTCAGTAAAGTGACTGATTTACTTGTGCCTACATAGATAAAAGTGACAAGTATTTGTCTTAAATTAATTTATGGTATACGTTGTATATCATAGTCTGAAATATAAAAGTACTGTATTGAGCTTATGAAAGAGACCTCTTTTCTTCAGAATCAATGACCTTTTGCTCTTAGGATTGTACCAGGAAAAAAAGAAATAGCGGACTGTAATTAAAAGGTTGGTTAAGTGAAAACAAGTACAAAGACAAATATGAGTTCCTCTATGAGACAGGTCCTCAGGTTAAGTATGGCATACAGTATTTAGTATCTTCTGGTACATAGACAATGCCCAGTGTTCAGTAACAGCAACAGAATGGAACCTTATAGTTGCTGTGGCCTTTGTGTGGCATTATGATGACTGCAGATTTCAAAAACAAACACAGGAGTTCTGAAAATACAAGCTCTGAAGCCGTGGGGCAGCTCTGAAATACGCGTAGCTGTTCTAGCAGGCCTGAAATCAGTAAGTAGCTGTATGTTGACAAATAGGCAGTCATTAATTGAGGATAATGCTGTTTGTCAGGTGATAGCTTACGGACAGAGAATAGAGCATTCTGTTTTGCAAAGACTCTGAAGCCTGTTGAAACTAATCGCACGTTTGTGTGTCTACACCTGAAATTAATTTTGTGAAGTATGACCTATGGTTTTCAAAGAGGTACTGACAAGACATGGTTGTTTGAACATTCTGCAGGGAATCAAGTTCAGTTAAATACATTTATCTCTGGAAGTAACTTGGAGATCTAGGAAAAGGGGTTTAATTAAATAAGCAGTCATGACTTCAGACATATTTTTGGTCGGGTGTTTCACTAACTGTACAGTCGGTACTTATGAATTGACGTGTGAAACTGGCGCATGTTGAGTCAATAGGATTGGCATAAAGCAGTGTACCATTATGTCCAGTTCTATTTTGGTTTCACTTTTAGACTAGAATATATCAACACTTTTGTTGTCTGCGATGATGTGAACATCCTGTAAGTGACAATAATAGTCTCTCTTCAAAGTGTCTACAATAATCCATGTAACATACAGAATGTACAAATCAGTTACTGAATGTCCAGTTTGTACATTTCAATGAGTTTTCAGGAAGAACATAACAGTCAATAAAATCCTTTTAATTTTCACATTTTACTGGCACCTTATATGTATTGCACCACCTGTGTTTTCTCTCATCTTGCAGTGTTTATTATGGAAAATTTGAATAATTGCATAGAATGTTTCAGATCAGTTAGCCAATATCACTTCTTTGTGTCAGGGACAGCATTTCCCAGTATTCTCCTCTCGTTCTCCAAAATTAATTTACAGTATCTCCATTACATCCCATTTTGCTAAGTGTTCTAGAGGTCATAAGTGCTGTGGTGATAAATACAAATATTTTTCCTTTCAATTTTTCTCCACAAATTATACTTAATTTTTCAGGTTGGATTTCTTCTTTTCTTCCCATGGGAAATACACTGCACTCTTGCCTTCGCTTGAATTTCAGCTTGAACAAAGTCAGTATTTGATTGGATTCTTGTCTGTTTACATATTTTCCTCCTGTTATCAACTGATTTGGGGATTTTACTGAGTAAAATTCTGTACTATATTAGCTCAGAGTTCTCAGCGTGGTTTAACTCAGTGGGCCAAGTACATCATTTCAGCTGTCCCTTCTTGTAAATCAGTCATGAACTGTACTGTCAGCTGAGGCTGTCACTTTTCCAGAATTTTGGGACTACTGTTTAGCTACAAAAGGCAAAAAGGGTGACAATGTCAGCTTCCAGTCCTTGTTATTTCTCCCAGTATCCTCCCATAGTTCTTGATCGTAGAGGATTGTTCTTGTAACTTGCCCCTCGTAACCAGCAATCTCAGTTGGAGGCAGAAGGCAAAAAATTTTTTTGGAGTTACAGGATTTTGTGGGTTCTGATGCAATCCGTGTTTGTTACCTTCAGCTGGGAGCGCTAGGAATTCAGTTCAGTCAGGCAGAGCTCTTACTGTTTAAGGACGATGAAGTTTTGCATGAATAAGAAATCTAAGAAATAACGGGATGTTCTGCAGGGTGACATCATACGGCACAAGTCTCTTCAGTCTTTATACACTACCTAAGATCTGAATTCCCACTAGGAGCATTGTAATGTATTATGAACATGCCTCCTGTAGTTCTGAGCTTCAAACTCATGCTCTGGCTGTCATCAGAAAGAGATTAGTTCCTGTTATTTTAGTTACAGGTAACTGCAAATTCACTGAACATAACACAGTAGAGAAGTAAGCGATGCAAATCTTCTCATGGTTCCCACTGCCTGAGCCCTTTCTGAAGCTGGTTTTTCCCTGTTGTGAACACTTGTGATTTTCCCTGTTAATTTCACAGCCAAGTCTGCATTCTTCCTTTGACTAGCAGTACTTCAGCATTTCCTAGGGCAGAATTTGTAGAGTTCAGAACTGAAGTCACTTTCCAGTGGTTGGAATGTGGGGAACAGTGCCTGGAAGAGTCTCTGGTAACTATGAATTCTTGTTCCACTGTAATGAAGAGACCATTAAAACTCAAGTTTAAGTGTCCTGTAGTCTTCCTAGAAAAGACTGCAAGTCTGTTCTTCTAAGAAGGCCCCTCATGCAACTTGAATGTATAACTTAAAGCAATTCTGACTCACTGAATAATCGCATTAAAATGAAAGGCTTTGTATGAAGTGGTGTGGATCCCCATGCTCTGAGTCAGGAGACCCACCTGAAGACCAGATATTACTTGCCTGAAGTGTGCTACTCTCCGGACTTTGCTCTACTGTGATGGGACGTGTCCAGGTAAATCGGTAGCTTGGCTGTAACATTGAAACTTCCCTCACACTGCTTTATTCTTTCATATTTTTTTCCAGCATTTTGCAGACAAAAGAGCTTAGCCACTCACTAAGCTAAGTAATCCTGTTGGTACCTCCTGGACCAGAGGTCAGGCTTGATATTTGCCCAGTGGGAGTGGTATTTTTTCTTCAAACCAGTCAGACCTAAAGAGCTCTTGTGAAATCCTTGGCACAACACCGTGTTTCCATAGCACTCAGACTGGCAGAAGGTACTGCTGTGAATGTTAACATCTCTGTGGCACAGAGACTCCTGCACGGTCTTCTGACTGTGGCGTTACTGAAATTACATACACTTGAAGCAGAGCATGTCACGGTGTTTGTAGGATCAGGGTCTGCAGCTGTAGCTGATTAGCTGCATATTAGGATTATTTTTTTTTAGTGGCTTTTAATTCATTGGAAAGCTACAGCAAACAGAAACGCTTCTGCTTCATAATTGTAGAATTGCGGAGGAACAGGCTGAGTGAGAGCAGAAAGAGTTTATACTTGTTCTACTGATGCAGTCTTGGATAAACAAAAGCATGATTGTACATGAGCTGCCCTTGGAGCTGGCTGAGGTTTTTCTCAGGAAGAATTTAAAAGAGATCATCTTTAATACTCCCAGAAGAGTTCTGGTGAGCAGCCTGCCAACTATTGTCTGTCTTGGCTTTTGTAAAGTTTTTTAAATGCTCTGTAGGGATATTGAGTGTAGCTGTTTATATGCCTTTAAAAAGCCATCAGAAGTTTGTTTCTGGAGTTATTTTCTTTTAACCCTTCTTCTCCAGTATTTAAATGCTCTTGTAACTTCAAGCAATTATTGCCTCAGTTTTTCTGCGAAAAACTTTAGATGGCATCACTGAGAGCTGCCATTCATCACTCTCTGGGGCTTTGTTAATATTTCTTTTCCCTGTATCCTTTCTGATGATGTCACAGAATGGACAGAACCAGTATTTGTTTTAGTTGGTAGTGATGCTTAAGCAATTGGACAGGAGCTCACTCACTGTACCTTGATTTAATCTTACTAAATTAAGGAAATCTAGTACAAGTTGTAACAACCTGTGATTATCTTGTGGAGAGAGTGTGAGATTTTGGAAGGCAGGGCCATTACTTGTTTCTCTTTCCATCTGTGAAATATGTGGCAGGATGAAAGAGAATTCGTGCACTCAGTCTAATCTTCCATTTCCAGAAAAATACTGGGGCTATTTGTAAGCACCCAGGAGATAAGAACAGGACAAATCGTGTCATATCTGCCCATCTTTCTCCTGTGATGGTATTACGTGGATGGTAGGAAGTGGAAGATGTGACATTAAAATTAGTAAAGCTTTTCACATCATCGGAGATGAGATTCTTACAAGTCAGGGAAATACAAGTACCATGATGTGTCAGCAAAGCTAGTTAAAAAGACACATTTGGTTGTCAGGAACTTGGTGACAAAAAGGCAGCATTTATCCATTGCATTCTGTATTAGGACCCTCTCCGATCAGACACTGTAGCCACAAAAGACAAATCGTTAAGGAAGTAGGATTCGTTAGTTGAAGCTTAGAGAAGTACTTACTTAGAACGGTGAGACTTACTTCTAGCAGTTTTAAGTGTCATTGATCCGCACTTGAGGAAGAGACTAGGTAAGTTTCACAGTATTTTCTTAAGCAGTAGACCAATTGTTTTTAAAGGTTGATGAATTAGCTTCCATCCAGTTATAGCTTGATGGGGTTGGATTGTTAAATAAATAAAACAGATAAGTAAACAGTGTGACCATGTTACAAAGTTGCCTTTTTGGTGTTTAGCTTAAAGTATTTTAATGAAGTGTGGGAACCACTGTATCACTCGCCTTAAAATATGCTTCTTGGACACTGATGGATATTGCATCTAGCTCAGATATGCATGCATCTCATGTCTTTTAGACTACAGGTTCAGTAATGGTGATGTTGAGTAACAGATGACATCTCAGGTTCTCCTGTAGACATATTTTACAAAATCAGAGATACTTGGTAATGTTTCCTACCTATCTGTTCACTGTTTAACCTCGTTCTGAGATTCTTTGGAATGGAAAGTACTTACTATATTGTTTACCTTTTAGAATATATTATTGTTATTTATTATTATTGATTAGACAAAATGGCCTCCACAAAGTGGCCTCCTTCTTTTGCCACCCAAAATAAGTAGAGGTATTAGCTTCAATGATTCTGAAACAATAGATATACAATATTTCCAATCCATTAAGGTATTTTTAACTTACTATTAATTTCCTACCTTTGGTCTTCACTTGTGAGTGACTAATCAACTGACTTCTTCCACCTTGGAAAAGATGTTTAAAAAATTTTACCATTTTCATTGCAAAATATTTGAGTAGAATGGTGCCATTTGCACCACAAGTTTCAGGCCAGAGATGAAGGTACCCAACACCCAGAATCATAAAAAAATCCAGAACACAGTTTTGCAAACAAATATAGGTTTAATTGCATTGTATAATGGATTTATAGTTGTTAAATATATTATTTTACTGTATAATTTATCGTTCTTCCAGTTCCTTTAGCAGTTCGTCAAAGTGAGTAATGTACCATTTAGCTTTCTCCTTTACTTGCTTTCTGATTACATTGCCTCCAAATCCAATGAAGCAGTCCTGGCAAA